TTTTTAATGTCTAATGGTAAATCATAAAATAACATAATATATTTGAATATTTATTTTATTTTAAATGATTTTTCAAATCTAACATATTTAGTTATTTTTTAATCATCTGGCACTCTTGTTGAACCACCATCACTATAATTATCACTATCACTATCAGTATCATTTTCTATACGAATATGTTCTTCCAATTCTTTCCTTCTTATTTCTTCTTCCTTAAAAGTAATATGACAATTACTTTCAATATGGTCAGGAGCATCCTTCATTAAAAAAGTTTCACCACATTCACACTCTACTAATTGTTGTAGTCTTTGCTTCCGGTATTCTTGAATTTGTTTTGGTATATCGTCGCCGAAAAACCTTACTGGTTCTTCATATATTCTTTCTTGAAACATTTTTAACATTCTATAATATATAATAGATATATTTTATTTTAAAAGCTTTCTCAAATCTAACATAAACATATTATTAACATCTTTGGAATTCATATTGACATAAAAGAAGGAGTAGGGCTTGTCATCTACTGCTTTATGATACATATTTAACAGATGCTCTTTATCAACAATGGCAGAGTTTTCCTCAATGAATGACATTAACTCTGATACATTCTTTAACTTGAATATATACAACGAACTTGAATTCAACCTAATGATTGGTGCTAGGACACGGTATTTTTGAACGCTTAAACAAAAACTAATGGCGTCGTGCCTGCCTCTCGTTGCCAGTCCATGTAATAACTTGCTGTATCTAACAAATTTAGGGTCGTCTGCAAAATCATCAACTATGATTAAAATTGAATGTAGTTTCTTCATCTTCTGTTCTTTCATATAATGAATTATCTTTCTTTGCGTGTTAATTATTTCTTCCAGTTCTTCAGGTTGGTAGGTGTCATAATATAACTTTTCTTTTTCATCATCAACCTTCATATTATCTTTTTGATATTTCTTGACTTCAACGAAGGTAGGGTCATTATGAACAGACGGGCTAAAAATGAATATACGAGCGAAGCAGTCCCTATAAACATTTAGGATAAGGTTTTGGATTAAAACTGTTTTGCCACCCGTTGATGAAGCAACAACAATTGAGCGAAAAGGTAGTTTTGGTACATGTTCATATTTGGATTGTTTGAATTCATAATCAGTTATGTTTATTGGTTTTATAATGGGAACTTCAGGCATAAAATAATAATATTAAAAATATTTAGAAAATAGATTAATATTATTTATTGTATGAAAGCATTGCTATGATATGAATGGTGTCTATCGTAGTAGAACAGGCTCTTTCATCAACTTCAGTCAATAAGTATTGAAGATAATTAGATTTGTGTCTTGCTCGCGTATGCAATGAAAACCCCAAGTGCTGTGCCCCACCAATATTCTATTATGCATGAAAATAATAAGATTAAATAATTATTTTATCTTATTATTTTATATGAAAAGGAGTTATGCAGATTATATTGATATAATAAATGAAGTACAACATATAGAAGATGTTGTTATAACCGATAATAAAATTAAGAAATGTTGTTATTATTCATTAGAATTAATTAAGCTAGGAATACAATATATCAAAAATAAAAATGTAAATATTAATATAAATGCCAAAAAAGAAAAAGAGTAAAGACAAAGAAAGACCAATGCCAGATATTGAAGCACGGAAAGAAACAGCAGAAAGTGTTAAATCACTGGGTGAAAGTAAGACTATAAAATGTGATAAATGTAATCACGTAATGAATTTTAAAAATGAATTGACAATAGATAAGAAAGGCGGAGTGAAGGTTAGTTGTATTCCTTGTATGTTTTCTTATAAAAGCTCAGATAAGGATTTAAATATTGAGAAAAAAACAGGTGGCGATATGGTTGTTGAAACTAATGAACATTTGATTAATGTTAGTTTTAACAGGGACATAAGTTAGTATTTAAAGAGTAGTTTTAACATAATTTAAACATTTAGTTTTAAAAGTATAGTTGAATAATATAGTATATGGTTGAATTTTCAAGTTTAACACATTTACATTTTGGAGCACTTGAATTAGATAAACAAATTGGAGACAATAATTATAATGGTGTTAGTTATTATACTTGTAAGTGTGGATGTAAAATAGTCTTAACTCGTACTCAAACTAAAAAATATAACCTTTTATTACTTAGTGTTGGTCTTAGCTATGAATATGTATATCTAGACAAAGCGTTAGTATGTGGACATACTCAAAAAGATTTAGATAACATTGTTAGACTTATGGTAGAAGGCGAAGAATTTAAACATTTAAGTAACAGAGACCTTCGAAATTAAAATATGTAGTTTTAAAACTTTAGTTTTATAATATAGTATATATGGAAGGTGTGGATAAACTAATATTGAAAATTGATGAAATAATGGAACAAAATAAACGCATTTATCAACTGTTAGAAAGTATGAAGAAACCAGCTTACAATAATACTAATAATTACCAACCAAAAGAAGTTGATAGAGAGAGCACTGAATACAAGAATAAACGAAATGTATATATTAAAAAACTTAATGAAAAAGTTATTAAAGAACCTAAACAATCAAGTCTGGATGTCTACCAAGTCAAGTATATTGAAGATACCAAGAAATATGTTTAATCATTAACTAACAAAATTTCGTGTCTCAGAAGTGGTTTGTTTATTCCTGCTACTCTGTAAGTTTTATTACCCATAATATCATATTCAATTTTATCAACATTGAATATTTTATTAGACCATTTAGAGTTATACTCTTTTCTGTCGGTGTAATTGCCCCTTTTCTTTTGAAACACTTTTATCTTATCGTTCTCCTGTATTCTGGGATACTTTCTTTTGTTCTTTTCTCGTAGTTTCAGATTGACCTTTACATTTATTTCATTGTCGTCCTTGTGTGCTTCGGTTGGTGTCATCCTTGTTGACGAGTGTAATGTGCTGTTATACTGTTTCAATGCTGGTGTTAAGGCATCGGTCCATTTCATATTATTAAACCTAGCTCTATCATGAATTTTGTTTTTCATTGTCCTAATAAAACGTTCGGCTACATTTGCGTGTGTCTTCGTTATTATGTGTTTGATACCTTCGCTGTTGAAGAAATCCTGAACTTGATTTTTAGTAGCGAACGCTCCATCATCATCAGAATACACGGACATAGGATAACCCATCTTTTTAAAACTTGCTCTAAGCGCCTTCAAAACGTGCTCTCCGTCTCTTTCCTCCATCGGAATTACATCTGCTAATTTACTGAAGATGTTAATCACGACTAAAGCATACTGTGGAACATTCTTGTCTTTAGCTAAAGGTGACATATGCATTATGTCTATTTGATATTCATATCGTGCGAAGGGAGCGGTATAGGAATTAGTGCCTCTATAATTTTTGATTTGTTTATTTGGTTGTTTCTTTAAGAAAGACTTTACATCTTCTAATGTTATCGTTGGGTCTTCTTCCTTTGCCTTCTTGTGTGTTGCTTGTGTGCTTCCGAAACCCTCGTCTAAGTCATAATAGATGTTGCTGATTATTTGGTCTTTCGTTAATCTTGCCATTATATTATTTGTTAGAAAATATTTTTATCAACATAAACCCCCACCCCTTAACATTAAAAAAACTACTTAAAGAGAAAAAACCTTATATATTAAGAGAAAAATGAGTGAGGGTAAAATGTCTGAGAATAATTTGATGGTTGAGAATTGGACTAGCTTACCTGCTGATGTATTAAAAGGTATCATTTCATATAAATTAGGGGGACCTGAGTATTTGAAAATAAAACATAATCATATTAAGACATTAAATAGAATACAACAACGATATAAAATAAACAGAACAGAAACAAAAAGAAAGACAAAGCGCTATACTGTTGAAGATGGCGATGATATAAAGAGACACGTAATTGAGTATTACATTTCAAGAAATATACCTTTAAGAATTAAAAGCATCGAAGATATAGTTTTTAATGAAAATGAAAACTTAGATTGTTTGTTAGATGGCATTGAAACCGATAACGGTTATGATGCAGTGATAATAGTTGAGGTAAATATGTTTGTAAGGTTTCATCATTTCAATTATTATCATGACGACCATTCTAACACTTTTAGTTTTCATTTTCATAGTGATGATGTTGTAGATAATATAACCATAGATAATATAGCCGATGTAATGAGAGCGGCGCATCAAACAATATACAGTTGTATTGATGATGAAAGAAGTAGAATGAATTTTGGAGGAGTACAAAACATAAGGTTTAAACTAATTGTTGATGAACCTGTGTAATTCATAACTAAAGCATAATTATATCATTTATACTCTTATATGTTATAATTATAGTGAACTTTTAATCTATAAACATTTCATTAAATGACAAACCACAACAACCGCCCAAAAGCCAACCCATGAAACCACAGAAAGTCCTATCCTCTTTCAATCAATAAAACTAAAAGTTGAAATCTGGAACGAGACAGGGGACCAAATCATCAATTCGTTACCACATCCATATCGTTATTTCATGCCCCCAAAATCAGCCTTGAAAAAACGAATAAGGTGGTACACGTGTTGAATTGTGAAAAAGAAAACAGAACAGGCAACCATCTACCCCCCACCCCCTAGGACAAGCCTTTTCTGCATTTTTTAGGGGAGGGGAGGGGAGGGGAGGGGAGGGGAGGGGAGGGGAGGGAGGGGAGGGGAGGGGAGGGGGAGGGGGAGGGGGAGGGGAGGGGAGGGGGGGGGGGTTTTTCAAAAACCAGCAGCTGTCCCTGGGGTTGATGCTGATTCTCCGAAGAGATCGAGAATGAAAGGATGAGAACTTTGATAAAATTGGCACCCATCTGCTTGCTATTGCCCAAAGCCATTGCCGAGGATTCTCCGCACAAGTTTTACCACACGGAAGGGAAGACACCTTGGTCCGGATTCTTGTCCGTTGCCCGTTCGACCAGCTTCAGAGGGCTCTGTCTGGAGCTAGGCGTGTTGTGGAGCCCTTTAAGGGGTTTTCACAGGAAACCAGATCCGATCTCCGAGCGCCCGCGCTTTCCGACCGGCTCCTGCACAGGAGCAAAAGCTTGAAAGCCGGGATGTCGCACCCCAGTTCCAACCAGTGACCCTGACAAAAAGCGGAACCCTGTTGGGGTTGACAGAATGGGAAGCCGCCAAAAAATAGGGTAACAAGGGTGAACAACGGGGTTGCGGGACAAGGAAACCGAAACCCGCCCAAAGCAAAGACCAGTGATCACAAAGCAACCATTCTGCCCCGCAAGTTTTGACACATACCAACATGCAGCCTGACGAGTGTTCCAAAGCAGAAATTGTGCTGTACACAAATGCGACCAACAACACAAAAGGCCCCGTGTACGCGTTCTTCCAAGCCCCGCAACCTGCTTTTTGCTCAACGCTTTGCATCTTTCAGATGGGTGAAAAAAAGCCGACTCGAAGCATTGAACCAGACCAAACTGCCAGCACGCAAGTCATTGGAGTCTTTAGGGGAGATGCTCAGAATCTCTCACCATTCTACTTGTCTAGTCTTTACAAAGAAAATATCTTGCTACAGATTGACATCTCTTTTGGGCTCGATCTTTCCTTTCCCCCCCCCCCCCGCACCAGGCCGTTTTTTTAAAGGGGGAAATTTGGTCCGAGTGACCGTGCTCGCACGGACCGGCCGAGCCTCGCTGATGTCCAAGGGCGCCGGTCTGTGTCGGGAACCCCAAGGCTTCCAGAAGCCTCGAGGATCGATCGAGAGACGGCCGTCTCTACGTAGAGCCGGACGCTTTGCTTCGGCAGCCCCCTAGGCCCTAGGAAAAAGCAAGCAAGAAACAATGGTATATACACGTAGCTGAGCTTTAAAAAAGAGAAAAACAAAAGTGCCAAGGTGAAGATGTGCAAAGAACATTTGGACCATCTCAAAAAAGAAAACATGACCCGCTCATTTGGGTGGAGCTGTGTGAGCTAAATGCTCAGGCAGCTCCGCACATGGCCCTAGCTAATGCTTCCAAACACATACCTGGAAAACTGGTCGGAAAAATCACTTGACGGTAACCTAAGATCAACAAACCATTGGTTGACTCATTGGGGGGCTATCTCAGAGTTCTTTTGGGTTCCCATCTTTTGGTTTCCATCAACCCAGGAAACATCAACCCCCGTTTCATGGACAATTAGGGGTATCCCATTCAACCCAAATAAGCTTGCTGTCCGATTGGTTTCTTTCAAAGTGCCATCCAAAAGGGAGACGAAGCACAGTATTGACACATGAGTCCTTCAGCCCAATTCGGCCTGGGCATTGCAGCCCAAACTGCATGGGCAAAGACTCCATCATCGGCGCCTGAAGCGCGGACTTGGGCCCTAGGGGCCCTAGGGGCCCTAGGGGTCTCGGGGTCCTTGGGTTCCTTGAAGCTTAAGGTTCCTTGGGTTCCTCAAGGTTCCTGGGGCCCTTTTTCGAAAGCGGACAAGAGATTGCTTGCACCTCGCCTCCCATCCGTCTTGTCGAAGCAACTTTTCGAGCCTAGTGCAAGGCTCTAAGATCCTCGTTTCAGGCGCTAAGGCCCTGTCAACCGCAATTTTAGGTGATGTCCAGATGCAAGCGGTTCCGTCTGAAAAGCGCCCGAAACCACTTGATGTTTGGATCCGCCCGGGTAAAGTGGGGGTAGCCTGACCATCCAAGACCCATGGCCACTGGAGGGGCAAGCGAACCCGTGGCTCGGCAGAAAACAGGCAAGCCCTGCCGGCCACCCCCCGCCTCTGGTCCCATGCCCATGGACTGCCTCGGACGAGCCCAAAGATCCAAAGAGTCTGGTGGTTCTGAGGGCATGGATCCGAAAATGACACTGGCGCTTGAGATTCGAGTCATCATAGCGCTGTGCTTCCTCCAAAGTCTGCCCCCTGTCATTGTCCAACCGCACGCTTTACGCAGGGTATCGTGGTTTGGCCGGTCCCTATCGGTGTCTCTTTCCCGCTCGTTCTGCGTCAGACACAAGACAATTTAAATTTGCGGTGGGTTTCACGGCTCTTGTTGCAACAGAAGCCTCTAGGGCATGAACAGGGGGGGGGGGTTCGCGGGGATGGATAGTGGCCCTGCATGAAATAGTCAAAGCGGGCTCACGTTGCAAAGCGAAAATTCGCCCAAAAATCACTTGGACACAAAGGGATGATCCTTTTGGGCTCTTTCTCTTCATCTACAAGAAAGTACAATGCAAACCAAAACATCCTTTCAGACTCTGAAAACAACGTGAATGCCAAAACCCTTCTCTTAATCTCGGGAGTAAACCAAACCCTTGCTCAGAGATCCCTGAGACAATGGTAGAAAAACGGGAACCCTGAAAAGAGAACCGACGGAAATGGTTTGACAATGCTCTCCTTAACAGAAGTTTGGTCCTCCCTTACAGGCCAAAGCCGCCACCAACATGTGAGCCACATTGAGGGGGAAAGGGAAACCAAAAGAAGACCAAAAGCTATCCATTCCAAAAGCACAAGCCTGGTTCACCCCACTCAAACCCCAAGGCCACAAGGCCACCTTCGCCAAAAATTGAACCTTCCACCAATGAAATTCGATTCGCGCCACGAATCTCCCGCCAACTGCGGCCGCGCCGCATGCCGGGGGGCGGCATCAGGTCGAAGCCGCCCTTGCCGCCCTACGAATTGCTCGCTCGATCCGCCAGGCTCAAGGGGGAAAACCGGACACACGCCATATCCCCATATAAACTCGCCAGAATATTAGACATTTTAGGACCACCCATTCATTGCAAAGGCACTACTTACAAAACTATCTTCTTTGACAAATTTGCGCTGTCATCCGAAAAGCTCCTTTAACCAATGACAACAGCCACAATACTCCCCTGCACACAAACAGAAATGGGATCCCCGACATGGAGATTCCTTGAACAAAACGGAGGGCTCGGGCGCCTTCAGTGTCCCGTACCCCAACGCCCTCAGCGCCCAGCGAAGCCCGGGCCCTCGTCCATGGGAGGCAGCCTGAGCCCAAGGAACCCAACCGTTGGAAACGGGCGATTTGGCAATGGCCACCTCAGGTTGGGTTTTGGGTTTCTGCTGGGTTCGGGTGGGCTCCAACTTCCCAAAAACGGGATGGCTTGGCTCAGGGCCAATGTCTCTGTTTAGCAGCTAGTGTCCCATCAACCGCCTTTGACTCTGTCTTCAAAGGGACCCGAAGCTCGTTGCTTAAACCAGTGTTGCCCAACACTGCAGCTCCAAGGGGTGGCTTGCATGGGTTAGGGGGCAAGATTCAAACCACCACAGCACCCATCCCAGCCACCAATCAGAACCTGAGTGGCTGTAAGTAGTCAGGGGGACCCCCCGCCAAACCACCTGGCTGTTTCCAACAAGTAAAGGCATCTCGTGGTTTTTTTTCTCTTTTTTTTTAGGGGTCGAAGCACCATGTTGGGAAACTCCCTGCCCCGTGCTTCCTTGGACCCCACACCCCGGAGGCATAAAGCCCATGCTCTGGTTCACCGGGAAGAAGCTCCGCAAGAAGTGCTCGGACTTGATGGCGGCATTCACCGGCTTCCCCTGAACAGTCCAGTCATCCCTCAATCTTCAAACTTCGGGAAAGCCCATGGCGTTGTGGCCCCCCCTTAAAAGGGCACCGAGCCACACAAACAAAAGACGGACCACGCCCAAGCGGACGCCAAACCCTGGATGGACGTTTCCTGAGCTCGCTCCTCCTGGCGGAAGTGGACCATGTGGCGAACATCAAACCGCATCCTTACCCGCGACAGCGCTCGTGAAAGATTTAAATCCCATGCAAACCAAACCCTGAGGCAAGGACCTGAGAGAAACAATGAGCGAATCTCCTGAGATCTAAGTTTGGCCACTACCTGTCTCTAGGTACTTGTCGCCCCGCGTATGAAAACACTTGTTAAGGGACTTTGGCTATTTGCAAGTTCCTGCGCAGCTATGTGGTCCCCAACATGGCTGGTTTGCTTGTGATTGCTTTTGAACCACAAAGCGCAGCTGGAAGTGAAGCTGACCCGATCATGCACGGTTTGAAGGGGGAAGACTTCATGGAAAGTCGCCAAAAAGCCAAGTCTTACCCATTCCAATGTGTCAACTTCCTGACCCGAAGGAAAAATCACAGGTCGTCAACCTCGCGGCTGGTCCGGGAAAAAAAAACTTGCCAAATGTAGGCGTGTCATTGTTTGTTGGGGAGACCCGCACTTCGATGGGAATTTCAGGGAAACCACAAGGCAACCCATCATTGTGGCGATCCCACTCCAAGTTTTGAGAGTAAGCCCATCTGCACCTAGTTGCTTAGCAGCTCTTGAGAACATGATCTCCAGCAACCTTCCCTCTGGTGCCATTTCGCTCAAAAGTAAATTTATTCATTCCAGTTGAAAAGTACATCCAAACCAAAAAAGCTGCTGAGAAAAGACTGACCAACCAGAAACGAGCCTTGCTGCTCCTTGTTTTGCCTTTTCTTCCGGCCCCCTGAGGCCAGAACAGCCGGACTGCGCTTTGTCTGGCTAAGTTAGCAAGTGGCGGCAGACTTCGCCCCTAGGAGTGGCAAAAGGTTTCCGGTTGGTCTCCCTGCAATTGCCAACTCAAAGGCCATTTGAAGAGGCACACTAGCGCTAAGACTGGCTGGTTCTCAGAAGGAAGGACCATGTTCAGAACCTCTCGCCCCTATCCAGGCCCCTTACAGAAAAACGGGCCAGGCCTTGAAGCTTTGGGACCGCAGCCACAAAACCACGTCCTGTGCCCCGTCGTCCACGTTGAACTTCAGGAACCAGGTGTTGTTCACCTACGGCGGGAAGAGAGGGGGCCAATCCTTGAACTAGGGTTTCAACACCTGCTTGAACACCTTATGTTGGCTTCGGGAGCCAGGGTGGGGGGGCTGGGCATGTGGGTGTGCGCATTGTGCGCCTGATGTTTTTCTAACACCCTCAAAGTCACTTTGAGAACCCGTGCGAAACTTCTAGTCAAGATTGAGGAAGTGGTCCCAATGACCAGTCGAAAATCGCTGCCCTCCTGCTTTTTGCAATGGTCCCAAAGCAGCAACAAATGTGTCCGCGTGGTAGTGCTGTTCACCAGCAAGTGTCTCTTTTTGTGGGGTACCCTTGTGAGGATGTTTGAGGGGAAACCATTCATTTTGAGTATCGATCTCTAACGGGAACCAAAAGAGGCATGGTTCAAACATGCGGGCTTGACTCTTGTGGGTCTTGTTTCAACCAAATAAATCCGGTGATTCCTGGTCACCTGGAGGTGCTAGATGGACCTGTCCTGGAAGTGCGGATTTGTGCTGACCTATCCCTGCCATGTGTGCCGCCTTTCAAACAGGTCCCTTGAAGAAGTTCATTTGACTATTTGGCAAACCTAACACCTGTGGGTATCCTGTTTGAAGTACCCCGTTGTTGCCTTGAGGACCCACCGATTTGACCGTTTCTCTGTGGCTTTCCTTTGAAGCTTGCGTGCGTACCAAGGTGTGTTGCCTCGACATGAACCCCTATCCCATGCTTGTTGCCAGAACCTCGTGATTGAGCAGCACCTGACAACGATGGCATACCAAAGCATGGGTTTGCCTAGTTTAAGACTCCCACGTTCAGATTATCGCAATCCCTGAGAACTCGGCATGCACGGAGTCTTGCGAGGTCGACCTTCAAAGCCCCCTTTGAGGCGGGGTGAGACAAACGCTTGTGTGTGGGCATGTGTCAAGCAAGACCGATTGGCTAGTTTGGCTTGTCCCGCCATCTTGAAACAGAAATCAGTTCAACCCTGGATGGTCTTTGCACTTTTGGCACCCATGGCGCCACCAATACTGAGTGTCCTTTCAGCCGTGAAAAACCTGGTTGGTTCCCTGTAAGACAACCCCACGGAGAGGTTCACTGAAAGAAACACATACTGCGCAAGCAACAAAAAGCAAAAAGTGATCGTGCCCCAAACCAGAACCTAAAAAAGGACACATATCTTTCAGGTTCCAGGCCCCACAAAATCCAAGCATACCTTTGGTGCAGCCCCGCCTCCGGCTTTACGCTCACCACGTTCTCGCCGTAAGGCCCGCTGCGCAGCAGCGCCATGATCTCCGCCTGGCGCAGGTTGACGTCCATTTCCAGAAGCACCCTCTTTTTGGGGCGTGTAACAGAGGCACGCACTCATTTGAGGGCTTGTTCTCTCCACAGTTTGAGACCGAAACGTGCTGAGAGGACTGCGCCAACCCACTGCCAAATGAGCCAGGAAAACCAGCTGATCTGGAATGCATGAAATATATCTTAATAAATGTTGGGCATTGGACGCATGCTGGTTTAAACCAGCAACACCGGGTTGGCCCTCTCATTGAAAAAGGTTTGGCGCGAGGTTTTGACGTCCCAACCTCTAAGGTTCACGTTTGTCACGAAACAAAACCGGCTTACCCATGTGCTGCTCCGGGGACTCAACCTCTTGGAAGCCAAGAGGAATCTGTTGTGATCCAACTCAGGCGTCCCTAATGAGTCTACCTTCGAATCAAACAGGAGTGCGTCAAAACACGAGGAATGGACACTGTTTTAGGGCCGTTGGAACAGAACCAAATCACTTGAGAGGGGTTCCCCAGCTTTTTGCACATGTGGCAGCCCTGAGATGCTGTTGGCGCTAGATGCAAAAAGAAACATCAGCCGTGGAAAGATCCACCAACCAACTCTCGAACACCTGTCGGGGGCTTGCCCAGATTAAACCTTCGTCAATGTTGCGAAACCCAAGCGAGGCCGAAGAGCTGGTTTGGAGCTCTGTCTTGAAATTGTAAGAAAGGGAACCTGGAACTCTGCCCCAAAGGACAGGTCCAAGTCCAAGGTCGGCTCTGGTGGGGAACCTTCTTTCCTTTCTGGAGCTCATCTCTTTGACCCATCCTGGAGCAAGGAAAGTTTGCGTGCCTTTCGACCATCTACGGTTGAAAGGTCGTAGAAGGTAACCCAGACAGACTCCGCAAAATCTAGACCTTCATGTGCAAGCTCGCTTACCCTGGGGTGTCGCCTTAAATTAGCAGACTGAGAAACCTGAGATCTTCATGATGGGGGAGCCCGTCTACCCCCAGGTGAGCTGGCCATATGTTGTGCAAGCCTCGGTGGAATCATCTGGCAGGTCCCGAAGGATGACCACATTCCGCTTGGACTTCAGCACTGGCCGGACCTGAACCAACGAGTTCTGTTGCAGTTTGAACATGGGGGAACTGCCAAAATATAAAATAGGCGTCGTTTCTTGTTGGTTTCTCCTTGAACGCCCCAGAAAACCTACATTTCATAACTAGAGGGTGCGGGAAGGATTGACTAACAAGCGCTTTCACCTTGTTGTTGCGTACGCCGTTGGAACCGGCGCTGGAGTTTTGAGCCGTTTTTGACACTTTTGCATGAATCACTTGGTTTTTCCTTGCATTTCAGCGTGGGGGGGGGGTTGGGGGGGGGGGTTCGGGGGGGGGGGCTGATAAGCATCCATGTCTGGTAAGCATCCATGTCTGGTAAGCGTTCACTGCTTTGATCCGGGCTCAGAGTCTTAAGCAGGCTGTCGAATTTTCCAGGTTTTCCATGGAAGTGCCATGCACGCCGCAGAAGCGCCGCAAAACTGCGGCCGAGTCTCCGTTGTCCGTTCGATCAGATGCCATGAGCCTGCAGATGCTTTCACCGATTGATTTGAGATCGCCAGGAACACCGTTTCTGGGAAACTATTGGCAGCTAGTTTGAAAACCCAGGTTTTGTTTTGTTTTGTTTTTTTGTTTTTGGTTTTTATGTGCTTTAAATCTCCCGAAATTGGCATTTGAGGCTTCCGCATGAGCCATCGTCTTCACGAGCTGGCAGCGTGGCCCCAGAGCAACCAGTGCAGCCAGTGGTGCCTTTTGCTGCGGGCGCTGTGGCCGCACGCATTGCTGTGGAACTGGGCTGTGAGGAGCTGCCAGCAATGGCTCACAATAGGAGCTTGCACCTTCGACCTGGGCCATATCTCATCATGCCCAATGATTGGCCACACTGTGCAACGTGGTGTGCTCGTGTCATTGAAGCAGCAGGCTTCAGCAGTGCAGCCCGCACTCTGCGTGGGATGAGAGCTCGCGCAGAGCAGGCGCTTGTCAAGCTTGCCCGCGCGGAAGCACAGCACTGGCAAGAAGTGGGTCGCTTTGATCTAGCACACACGTGGCAGAGCAAGATCGATGCTGCGCTGGCGCTGTCTGCCAACAGGAGCTATTGGTATCCGGTGGCTCGGGCTGATCTAGAAGAGTTTCGGGCGAACAGACGCTGGGAAGACAGGCGAAGGAAGCAAGCTACAATGCATGACTTTGCTTCTTCCAGCGCAGCAGGGCCAACCTTCCAAGATCGCTTGCGGGCTGAGCTATGCTTGAAGATGCAGAACCCAGAAGCAGAACCAATGGACATCATGTGGTCCGCGTTGACAAGCCTCAGCCGCGGTGGCACTCCGTGGGTTGCTATAGCTGAGCTGCAGTCTGTGCTGCCGTTTGAGCAGCCAATGGTGGAAGAGTGCATTGGCAGCTACGCCAGCATCGGCATGATCTATTTTCGGCAGGCTGACCAAGCAGTTTGCCTTGCTGAGGCTTGGGATGAAGCAGCAGTAGACCGTCAGCAGCTTGTGGCTAACGCAGTGGAGTGGCTTGAGTTTTTTCGGTCGCAACAGACGACCTAATCCGGAGGCAACAAACCATTGCAATAGTGAAGAGATAAAAAGCCATCATGCTATTCGGCTTTTTCAAGGTTGACAAGTTGCAAGGTCTTTGCAGTGGCTAGGTCATGATTTGGCTAGGTCTTGACAGGTTGGTTAGAAGACCGCATTCTGCAGCCTTTTGGCTTCCCAGTTTTGCCATGCCCGGTTGCCGCTTATGCGGCCGCCAGGGGCATAATTACTTGACTTGCCAGATTCAAGGAGCGGCGGAATATCGCGCTTTGAAGAAGGGCGCGAATGGCTCTGCTTCTAGAGGGAAGTCACGAACTTGCAGAGGAACAGGCTTTGCTGCGCTCAGAAAAGTGAAAAAGCCAGCCATGAAGCGGCCTGCTGCTTCCAAGTCTACTAGGCGAAAGGAATATAGCGGCGATGTTCTGGGTGCTGGCGACAGACGTGACCGGCAGTGGTCTGGACCGCAAGTTGCAGGAGTGACGAATGAAGAAGCTCTGAAGCATTTGCTGGCTTCGCGTTTGCTGCAGCGGCCTGCCAGATGTGACTCATGTCATGGCTACCTCTGCGGCCCTTATCCGCGCAAAGACATTGTTTCCCAGCAGCTGTATTGGCATTGCACAAACGAGGACTGCCGGAGCAGAATCAATGTCTTAAGCTGCAACAACTGGCTGAACAGAGATGGTGTGGAGAAGCACAACCGCGCATTGACGCCTTTGCATCTCTTCATCATAGTGATCAGCTACTTTTCAGAAACCAATCCTCGGCCAAGCAAGCCGGCCAAGATTGCCAAGATCAATGAGCACCTGTGCATTCTGGTTTTTCAAAAGCTTCGGGGCTTAGAAGCCCGCCAAGGCAGACTTCAGCTGGAGCAGTTGCGCCTCAAGGGCCAGATAGAAGTGGACGCAACAACAATCAGAAAACTGCACATAAGCAAATCGAATCCATCTTGGGCTGTCCCTATTCGGGCTTGGCAGGAACGGCATGGACAGCAGGCTCTGCCACCATGGTTTGATGTGCACGTCAGAATCGGAGGAGCCAAAGAACGCGGCTCTACTGGCAAGATTCTGATGTCACCTTTGCCATACGTGTTGTTGAAGCCATCGGCAAGGCCACCTACCGAAAGCAGTTTAGATGTGATGTCTTCTGACTTGATTTCCAAAGTCAGGCCAGGGGCCACTGTCTACGGGGATGGTGCTCGCAGCTGGCGCAGTGCATGTGAAGACGCAGGTCTTGAGTTCTTCCAGGTTCGACATTGCCTTATGGAGTTCAGCTGCCATTTCTGCACGGGAGGCCGCACAAAAGTCGCTGGAACGCAGGCTCTGGACTCATGCTGGCGTCGATTAAAAGAATACTTGCCGCGAGAAGTTCAGGCAAAACATGTGGGAAGCAAGCTGGTGAATCCAGCTCTTCATGAATACGTTTTTTCATGGCAATGGCGCATGAACGCAGGCAAGGATCTGTGGGCTGCGTTGCCATCTTTAAACCCTTAGAAAGCATGAACAAAAGCGCCGCCCTCAGTGCTGGGGAGGGTTTGTTTCTAGGCCGCCGCTTGAATCTGCCTTGATGTTTTTTGCACTTACACATTCTTTCAGAACGTGCCAAAAACCTCAACGTGCCAAAAACCTCAACGCCGGTTCGCGCGGCGAAGCCTTGTTGTTGGCTCCCCTTGTGACTCTAATTGCGTGTACTTTTTGCACCTTACTCCCCTCCAAGCAAAAGAACAAAAGACACGTTGGTTGGTTTCAAAGAAACCGCATCGCTCCGTTTTACAGGCAGGTTAAAGTAACAACACATTAGTTGGTTTCAAATGCAAGCTAACCAACACGCTGTGTTTGGTGTCTTGTTCAAGGCGAACTAAACGCAAGCCCTTGCAGAGCAAACCAAAAGCAAAACCTCTTTTTTTGCTTCTTTTCGGCCTCAAACAAAAGAGGTCTGTCTACAGGGGGCCTTCTCCACAAGGAAGGGTTTAGGCGTTGGGGATCACTTCGAGAAGCACCAGTTGGATGCTTTATACGGGTCATCATCGGCCAAAGAATGGTGAGCTTCCAACAGTAAGGTTGGGTGGCTTGTAGTTGGGTGTTGTTTAATCCCTGCGATCCAAAAGAGGGTGTCTGGATTGGAGCAGCCCGAATGTTGTGCGTAGGGAACAGGGCACACTATTTGTGTGATGTATCTGCAATATTAAGGCCATCAGCCTGTAATATTGTCCAGACGCACCCCAAATCGGCCCAATTCGGGAGGCTTCACACGAGACGCGGAGGATGAAGTGAAGGGGAATTAAGCATCCTTCAGTTGCATCTGAAACTTAGTGAGAGAAGCCATTGCAAGCACTGATTGGTTTGTCTGCTTGGAAACCAACTGATGTTCTTTGCTCTGCTACCTTGCCTTTGAAACCGTTTTTCTTCCGTTGGCTTGCCAAAGCAAGTGATGCATTGTTCTTTGGGCTTGCAAGTTGGAAAACCCACCCAAAGCTGTACCTTGCGCATACTTTACATATGTTTGGCTTGTCTTTCTTCTCCGATCCGCTCGCTTCAACCTTCCTTCCGATCCGCGTCCCCTCCGGTCCGGCCATGGACTTCTGGTCATCCACGCCCAAGCGCTTGGACTTGGCCGCGGCGGCCACCACCTCAAGCGCCCGAGGCGAGCGGCGAAAGGACGCGAAGAACAAACCATCTGATCGCCTTGTTTGGGTGGGGGGGTGGGTGGGGGGGGGGCAGCTGGAGGGGGGTGGCAGCTGTCTCCCCCTTTTCCTTCCTCCAAAGGCACGCGATGGAAGCCAATCCACCGTGAATTCGACGCGCCTGCTCTGGCGTCGCCGCAAGGGCTTGAAGCCGTGGGTGAAGCAGCAACACGGAGATGGGGATGTACCTCCCAACGGACCTATGGACATCATGAAACCCGATTTGAATACGGGCTTTGCAGGATGTTGCCCATCCAGACTGTTAACCATTCTCCCCATTTCTGGATTCCTCTTTACAGCTGTCTTTAACAGCGGGGGAGCGGGAGGTCGGGGGAGGTTTCCTTTTGGAAAAGATGGTACAGCTAGACAGTAAGCTGGTACCCTTGGCCAGAACATGGTCCGACCATGGGCCTTGTTCTTTGGTGAAACCAGCGGCGGTTACAATACCCGCCCTAACATAGCCGGAGTGGGGGATGCCTGCAAAATCGATCTCCTCTTTGGTAGCCTCTGTCAGGTGCCATGGGAGGGTGACATCTGTTTGGTTGAAATATGTTTCAGGGCTTGAATCCTGTATATGGCCTCGGAATATGATGTTTTCCAGTTGGTTGAAACATCAGGCGTAGCATGGACACCTTCCATGGGCACATCCTGCCAGCTCTACGTGCATCATACTCATCACAGTGGTAAAATATGTGGCAACCCTCTGTTTGTCATCAGCACACCGCTCAGCATTGACGAACGAATAGTGTGCATTCCAAGAATGGACATCACACTTTGGCCAGGGTTTGACTTTGCTCAATAGCGAGCTTATTGGTCTCGCATATGTCGTTAAACAATGGACTTTGCCTGTTCAATGTCCAATCACTTTGCCATGCAATGCTCCACAGCACACACACACACACACACATATGTATGAAAACTATATATATATATGCACTGAGTTAGAGTCATAGCAAGGGCAGCCACAGCAGCCGAATAGTCTCTCATAGTGACACATAGTGACTCAGACGCTGTCTTTTGAGTGCCATTGAGAACGCTTAAGGGCCGTGCGTTGGCTCTGAATGAACTAGTATTGGAGTTATACACTGCAACCGCATCACACATTTGTCTAAAGAGCCTGAGCATGATGTTGAACCCAAACCTCCAAACTTCCAAACCCACGTTGAAGCCTTGACAATGCTAACTCTGGCGCACATCTGAGGGTTCATCTTGCTGGCCAAGAACTGGTCTTTGACCAAATTCTTCTTGGACAAGATCGACTCCAGCGCTTCCTGTCAGATGGGCATGATTTGCGTAACTTGGTTGGAGCCCATTGTGGACAGCTGAAATACATGGGAAGTGTGGAGGGTGTTCCTATCCTCAATATTTGTAGCCAGCTCAGGAAAACATCACAAAACGCGGTTCTGTGGGAGTGTCGGCAAGCCGTCTGGAATGGACACGCGGAAAACCTTTCCCGAGAAAAACATGCGCAATCGTGGACCCATCCAGGTGGAAGCAGACCGGTCCGGACAAAGCGAAAGCAAAAACCTTGGATAGAAACAAATATGAACATATTCAAATAAATATTAATATATATATATATGTATATATATATATATATTGACGAAGGAACTAAGGACCCCAACAAACCAACAAAAGAACGAACAAACAAATAGACAACCAAAAAACAAGCAGCAAGCAAGCAAGCAAGAAAGCAAGCAAGCAAGCAAACAAACAAATAAGCAAACAAACAAACAAACAAACAAACAAAGAAACAAGACACACAGACCAACTAACCAACTAACCAACCAACCAACCAACCAACCAACCAACCAACCAACCAACCAACCAACCAACAGGCAGGCAGGTAGGCAGGCAAGCAGGCAGGCAGGCAGGCAGCAGGCAGGCAGGCAAGCAGGCAGGCAAGCAGGCAGGCAGGCAGCCAGGCAGGCAAAACAGACAAATAAGCAAATTAATCAATAATTAACAAGTAAACAAGTAAAGAAATACAAATCTACACAAATACATTAGCGACACATGAGAAAGGAACTGGACAGTTCAACAAACCAAGGACTAGATGAATAAATAAATACACTGGTCGAATAAGAGTTGCGCTTCTTGACAGTCAAAACGATTACAGCCCTTTGTCCCTTGAATGCAAGCGCACTGTGCCAGTTTCTCTGCTCAAGGCCTCTGCGCAGCTCACTCTCCGCAAGTTGCTCTGTGCAAGTTGTTCTGCGTCGTTCTCGACGCAAAGGGTCGTTCTCCACGCAAGTACCGACAAGAGTTGGTGTTGTGCGATCAATTTTGGAACTGAGAAGCTTGTGAATTTTACTTATACAATTGAAAGGGTGTGATTATTGATCCTCCGACGCCTGCCACACAGATTGCACTTGTTAGTTCAATCCGTATCTGACCGGATAGTGTCTTGTGAGAACAGGCAAGAATCACAACCTTTTTGCTGACTGAAGTAAGCCTTACGAAGGAATACTTGTATTGTAGGTAACCAACAGAGCCACCAATTGAAAACGAAAGGAAAATGACCGGTTACCTACTATAGTGGTGCCAGGTTCAGCCAACCCCCTGTTTCAACATGTGCAACACCCATTGTTTAAACATCTGTTTGGTGCCTCCCCCTGCTCTGGGAGTCAGGGTCTGACCTGTTACAGAATTTAACCTGACCCTGCTGGGAACAGGACCATATAAATTTGGTGAGTCCCCTGTGTTTCGCGGGAAACCGGAAATTTAGTGAGTCCCCCATGTCCCTGCCAAATGAACCATAGACCGCTAGAAACTTTCGCCCGCCGCCTGGATCTCTTCATCGACGCTCTTGTTCCGAGCCCGATCGGGCCCTGGGGTCTCGGCCTCCATTGGCCTCAGGCCCAGGAAACCGAGTTCCCTTTTTGGATTGACGGGGAAACCGAAACGGAAAAAGCACAAGTCTTCGGTCTCTTTTCGTTTGACACTATTCAAGAAAAAAAATGGCCTGCCACAGAAGATCGCCAGGGATCGAAATCCCCCTCCCCCATTTCTGTGTTGAACCGGATGGGCCGAGTTGGGGACTGTTTGCACCGCATAAAAAGAACTGAAACCCCCGATTGGAGTCGGCCTCTCGAGACAAAAAAACGACTAGTTTTGAGGGGTCCCCTCGATTTGGGGTGGCTCTTCCACTTGAAACCTACAGTTTGCAAGTGTCTCACTGCTTAAACATGGTGATGCTTTGTAAATTGGAATAAAAAACTCGTGATGGGCAAATGACTGCCTTGGTGCCCCTTCTCAAACGTCTCAGAAACAACAATTTCTCAAACCAATCCAGCAATCTATGCACAAGGAGCCACCGAATGATAGACGACCCAAGGTAAGTTCACTCCTCGTTGCGCAAATGCTGTCACCACACAAGTGACACTTGCAGATCCTTGTTCAAAGCCAGTGGGTATATAACAAGGGTAAACCCCCCAAATGTCGAGATTCCAAATGTTGGCTGTCCCCCTGTTCTTACCGGCTCAGGAAGCCGAAAGGTGTCCATCCGAGACGCCCCGAAAAACGCCTGGCCTGTGCAAAGGCCAGCCAAAGGGCTTAAGCCAAAGGCGTGCAACTTGGAGTGCATTCACGGGGTTGCCACCAGATACCGCAAGCACGTCCCTCAGTTTGGCATCCGATGTTCGAACCACGTCAGCTGTCGTCGTCATCGCGCTGCTTCGCAACAAGGTTGTGGTTAGCAAACATGCGGCAATGCCAACATCGTCAAAGTGATGAACGAACACCAGCATTTAGGAGGCTTCTGTCCAACAACCCATTTCTGACGTAAAACGCATCTGGCATGCGCACAATTACTGGCCTGCGATGCCACAATGTCAACACTGCGCCCGCAGGGCTGCCAAAACAAGAATATAACGTGAGACAATCCAAGAATGAATGATGGCACATGGATCAAGTTCTACTGTAGGCGCGCGGTAGATTTTGCTGTAATTGCCAAACAAATGCGAGTGCGCGATGTTGTTGAGACGTACTACAGCAGCTCGTTTTTGACGACAAACGCCGAACACATGCATGCGATGAAAAGTGGAGCCACCAGGCGCAAAATCAGATTTGCGCAGCACATACTGCTCGCTAAGCCGGCGCATGCATGATGCAGCCTTTTTGTCAAGAACTGCTTAAGCCCTGCGGTAGAGAGTTCATCTAGTCCGACAAGAATCGGGGCCTGACATTTGTGGGCTTCCCAAATGGCACGTTTGTTGCGCAAAACTCGCAAAGGAGAGACAGATCACTGGATGATATAAAATGTCGAGCGGGTAACTTATTTACTCTGTGGCTATCGGAGCCTAGATGCAATCGTGAGTCCATACATGCGGGTGCCATTGAAACTCACTCAAGTCCTGTCACGCTGCCTTGAAAGCCGGTTTTGTGCATTGCTCAGCGCCTTCGCACCTCGGTAGCGCGTGTCTCGCTTCTTCGCCCTCTCAAGCTTCGCTGCAAAGCTCACTTCCGGTTTGCTGTGCGTGACATCCTGGATCAAGAGCCATAGCTACTTGCATAGGTCCAAAGCTCCAATGCCGGAAATCAAAAACCACATCCACTCGTCTTCCTTGTCCTTTCCATTGTTCTGTCGCCATTGCACTAAAATTCTGCTTTACGCCCTTGTCGCACATCATTTCTTGATGTCGTGGCGCGGTTGTCCTCGTCCACCATGCCCATCAAGAACATGAGACTGCGAAGCCTACCTCGTGACAAAGTTTTCGCGGCGATCACTGTGTCCCAGATTCGTGGCGCGGAGTCCTCCCAGCCCCAACGCTGCTTGGATTTTGTACCTGGCAGCCACTATCGAAAACGACGGTCCGCAATATACAATTCCGGTTTCTTTTGTTTCACGCAAGTCCGCAGTTTAAGTGTAGAGATAAGGTGGGCAATAGAATTTCGTACAAAAGCAACGGACGGGCAGAACGTCAACACTACAGCTGTACAAACATCATCAAACAAGACTCGGCAACCTCAGGGTCGCGGCCCGATTCTCAACAGCAAAGTGAGACAGCAGCAAAAAAGTCAACACTCATCATCAGCAAGAATCGTCAAAACTGAGCCTGATGCTGCACAATAAGTGAGATATAACCAACAACAAGCACTCAGAACGCCAAAAAACAGCTCTCCTCCAAAACACGCACACACACACACACAAACACACACACACACACACATGCCCAGCATTCAGAGCGCACAGCCAACAAAGTCAGCACATGCTGCATCGGCACATCCATGAGTCAAAAACCACCTGTTCACTGCGTTAAGTCCAAGCAAAAAACAAAAAAACGGTAACCGATGCAAAACAGTGCTTAACATCCTCTTTTTTCTGGTGTTGCTTAAAGTTAGAGGTGCTCTGCGACGCAGAAGTCTCGTCCTGCTTGAGGTCGGGTCTGCGGCGCGAAACTGTTTTAAAGCAGTTGTGTTTAGATGTATTCTGTCAAAATCATTGAGGGCAAGATTTGTTTGGCAAAGGTCAATTGTGGCTCAAATGCAGATGAAGTCACGATTTCGACTGTTTTGTCAAGAGCGACGAGCGACTCAGACAGAACGCAATCGTCTCGTGAAGCATCCCAAGCCACGCCCCAAAATCTACCGTTTTGTCTCACCCTCCAAATGGAACCGCTACAAGGCGGTCTGCTGCACCCCCAGATCGCAACATAGCAGCAAGGGACAATGTCACGTTGGATTTGCCCCCTTCCCCCCCGCCAAATTTGAAGCCCGGATTGCCCTTGCAAAAAAATGTTCATGGGCGGGCCGACCGCAAAAACGAGATTTTTGACGATTCAAGACATCAATCGGAGCTGGTCGTGTTGAAAAAACTCAAACTGGCAAGTTCTCCTGGTCTGCGCAAAAGGCAAACCTACTCTTTTCCAAGACTCCAAGCGCGAAGCAGAACCGTCTTGGAATCTTGTATACAAAAGATGGGGGTTTCGATGCAACTGAGAGGCTCCTGACACTCGTCCGTCCAGGAAACGACCTCGCCCTGCGAAGGATTCGAGCTAAAGTGCTGCAGAGAGCCCCGTGCCTGCCCTACATCGACCCCTCGATTTGCTTGCAATTTGCCCCGTAGCTGTGCTTCTGCGAGGCGAGCTAAAAAACAGGGAAGAAAAAATGGGAACCCCGACCGATCGACGGCCGAACGACGACGCCCGTTCGACGACCGAACGACGACGGCCGTTCGACGACCGAACGACGACGACCGATCGACGGCCGAACGACCGAACGACCGAACGACCGAACGACGACGACCGAGGGTTCCAAAGAAAAGGTTTCCTTTAAGGGGGCTCGCCTTGCAGAAACAAAGGCAGCTACGGGGCAAATTGCCAAACCGCAAATCGAGGGGTTCGCAGGACGAGGTCGTTTCCTGGACGGACGAGCGTCAGGAGCCTCTCAGTTGCATCGAAACCCGTTTGGGGGATCCCCTCAAAAGAGAAAGGTGCGATGTTCTATGTTCGCGCTTTCGCGCAGCACAGTCTGCAGGTGTCGCTGCAGTCCACTGCTGCGGTCCACTGCTGCTGCCGCAGTCCGGGCTGTGCCAATATTGATCCATTGTTGACCTTTCGTTGATTCGAAATAACCGCCTCGGCACGGCTTCGTCGTGCACATGTCCGAGGCCGACAACGTCTACGACTCTCTGTGCGGCAGCTTTGTGGGGGACCACGGGCACCTGGAGCACGGCCAAGATGTACTTCACCGTGCCCCCGAACAGCGCACTAGCACACTTCCAGGCACTGGGCCCAGCCACCGGCGCGGCGGACGTCTACAGCCTCTGGTGCTCCAACAGCCAGACTACGTCCAACAGCCAGACTGCGGGACTCCAATCTGGTATGTACGTCAGCGCGGCCGACAACAACTACGTGGGCGTCACCGGCACCTTCCTTGGCACGGCTGCGCGGGAGTCGCAAAGCTGCACTTCGGCGCCTTCGGCGGTCAATCCCCGGCCTGGCGCAGCAGTCGGCGGGCACGCTGGACCTTACAGCCTGCAGGTCAGGCACTGCCTTCGAGGGCGAGTCGGTCTCCGCGCTGGCTGACTCGCTGGCCCTCACAGGGCTTGTGGGCAGGGCAACGTGGGCTGCTGTGAACGTGAACTGCACGGACGTCTTCACGACGGGCGTGGACGTCTCGGGGGCTGCGCAGCAATTGCAGCCACCGGAACGTCTCGGGCGCTGACGGCCACAGGGGACTGCTGAGATGGGCGGGGCCGTTTCTCGGCATTCTGGTGGCAGCGCACTGGCGCATTTCTACTCCGCCAAGTGCATGGGTTGTTGGCTTGGAAGCCCCACAAAGCCTTCCTTTTCGTAGACGACCTTCTGCGCACACTCGTCCGAGATTGCGCTTCAGAAATGTTCGCTTTAGTGGTGCTGTTCTTCTGCGCGATTGCTGCGCCAATTTCGTGGAAAAAGGCGCAGTTCCAGGACAGCCTCATTTGGTGTGGCTGGGAGATCAACTTCTCCCACGACACCATTCAGCTCGTGTCCGCGAAACTGATGAGGCTGGACGCCAAAATCAAAGCACTGCTGGGAAGCAAACGGGTACTCCGTAAAACACTCGAGCAGTGCATAGGCCTGCTCATTTGGGCTACCAGCGTTGCATTGCATCTCAGATCTTGGCTAGCGCCGCTGTACTCTGATCTCAACAGCCCACCGGGCTCGATGCGCTCAATACCACCTCAACTGTGGTCAGCCAACACACGTTCCGGGAAGGAACAATGATTCGGCAGACGACCTCAGCAGAGGTCGGTTGGCCCGATTCAGCCATCGCCCTGAGAGTCGCGTACGCTTCAGCCCTGCAGGCCTTGCACTGTCCAGAAGCATTCAGCTGTGTCCGATTGATGCGAGTAGTAAGGAAAGACTGCTTATACTACCCTATTAATTTTCGGATTTGGGTCCCCAAACCCTGCAAAACAGCCAAATTCTCCAACCAGCTGAACGTTTTTCCGATGTCACCGGTCTTTGTCACCGCTCCGTTTTTGGTGCAAAAAGCGCTGAAAACGGCGAACTCCGAAAAGTGCGTTTTTTCGTGTCCGGCGTCGAAAGTGGTGCCCGGGCCTCCAAATTCGCTCGTTTTCCTCCGAAAACCGGTTCCATGCATTCGCCGTGCTCCGAAATCCGTTTTCTGGCCCGAAAAGCCTGCGAATTCCAGCCCGCTGAGCTCGTCACCGCTTGTCACACTTTTGCGCAAAACCGGGCCCAGTTCTCTCCGCAGGGTTTTTCGCGGCCCGGCAGCCCGCCGAGGACCTGGCTCGGAGCCCGACAGCCTGCCGAGGTTTTCCATGAACCTCCGAAACGTCGCTCCGGAGACCAACGCCTAAGCCATCTCACCATCGGCTACCGTCCCAAAACGGCGCTTTTTGGCCCAAAAACGCTCTCACCGCGATGTCACCGCTTCGTCACCGCTCTCTTTGGGGCCGAAAAGTGCGCAAAAGGCTTGGAAAAGCAAAACCAGCTCCGCGGCTTCGGTCTAAGAGCCAAAATTCTCTCCACCGAAGTCGGAAAGCCGACCTCGCTCCACACTGAAGTCGGATGCCTGGTGCGGGCCTGGTGCGGGCCTGGTGCGGGCCTGGTGCTGCCTTTCTGTCAGT